AAGGACCTTTAGAACAACCCACATGCTTTTTAACGATTTCTTATGGAACTCATCCTACGGTGGGGCCCTAAAACCTAAACCCCTAAACCCCTAAACAACAAAACCCTACGTAACCCCGAAACCCTAAACCCTTTAACCCTAAACCCTAAACCTTAAACCCCCAGACCGCATCAGTAGGGCCCTAGAATTAATGGGGGGGATTTTGGTAACCCCAACCCCCAAAGGCCCCAAAAGTAGGACCCTATGACCATCATATGATAGTCATAGGGTCCTAATTTTGGGGGGTGGGGTTACCAAAATCCCCTTATTAAGAATGTTGAAAGGCCCCGCGCCTGTGCGACAAGCAGAGCCCCAGAACCGAACGCTGGCAGGTTGCTGGCTGGAATCCTTTAAAGAGTGTATAGGGTTTAGGGGTTTGTTTCTCCTTTTCTCAGGGTTTAGGGTTTAGGGTTTGGGGTTTAGGATTTAGGGTTTAGGATTTAGGGTGTAGGGTTTAGGGTAAGGGGGGTATATAGGGATATATAGGGGGTTATGTAGGGGTAGGGATAATGGAAAAGAAAATAGAAGCTACGACTTTAGGGTTGAAGGGTTCAGGGTTTAGGTGTTCTGGGGTTTCGGGGGTTTAGGGTTTAGGTGTTCAGGGGTCAGGGGCTTAGGGGTCCAGAGTTCGAGGGGATAAGGGGTTAGAGTTTAGGGGTTTGAGGGATTAGTATGTAGGGTTTAAGGTTTAGGCGTGTAAGTTTAGGGAATAGAGAAACGGAACAGGTCGAAACAAATGTACTATTGGGTGTTATATAAGGGCTACTATACTAGGATAGCATGGCGGGCGCCCTATAACAATTAAACCTTTGTGGCTCTAAAGTGATTACAGGGGTGAGAAGAACCAAAAAAAAGTGTCAAAGCCCCTGTGGCGGGGACCATTCCTTCATTCCTTGCTGACCAGACTTGCCCGTTTAAAAAGCAGGGAATAACGGCACATAATCCCTATATAATCCGTGTATTTTGTCTATTCCCTTAACCCCTAGGGAGAACCACCCTAAACCCTAAACCCTAAACGTAAGTAGAGCTAAGAATCTTCATGTCACCTGCTAGCTGGGTCGCGTTGCTATATTTCTTCATGACCTGGGCACGTCTCAAAATGGGGGTTTCCTTCGGCCAGGGGTATATACCAGGGTATATAGGTCTAGGGGGTCCCTATTGAGGATGAGATTGGCTTTTTTATTTGGACAAATACCCACCTTGCGGGAGACATAGAAGTCACACAGCCACTTGACCTTCTGCGCCTCATCCTCTGAGATCACGATGCGGAACGGCGGTTTAGATCTTCCCATAGCATCCGCACGCTTCTGGGCAATCTCAAGCTCGCTGACAAACTGCCTCCCGTCTGCGTTGATGAGCTTGCCACCTGCGCCAACAATGGCATCAGAAAGCACAATCTTAAACTTGTCGTTCTCCATGCCCGGAATTACTGCAGCGGTAGGGTACACTGAGACCATGTTCATGTTCTTCACGGCTGCCTTCATAGGCTGGGCCAAAGTGATGCCGTCACCGCTTGTGCGCTCGTCACTGGTGGTGGGCAACTGCAGCAGCTGCGGGGCGCATTGCGCCAAAAAGGACGTCGGGGATGTATCACCAGCAAAGCCACCTGTAGCCAGGATTACGATGCCCATCTCCTTCTGAGTGCCTCCGGCCTGGTACTCCACGCCCACAACCTTGGAGCCCTCGGTAAGTAGCTTTGACACCGTCGCAGAGGTCACAAGCTTAAGCTTGTTAGGCTTCGCCTTCGCAATGCCATCCAGCTGGTGCAGCACAGCATAGGTAAGAACAGCCCCCGGGAAGTGATCCTCTTACTGGGAGTTAGCAGCGAAGAAGCATACATATATATATGAATATATATTATCGTGGGATTATACTGGGATTATATTCCGTTGTTCCCTACTAGGCACTAGGAAGTCCTTCGTTCCCACGGTTCTTGCCACCGTCTTGTGGCCTGGGGTAAGGCGTAGAGTAATCTCATCCTTGCACCCAGCAAGGTTGAGGAGCCAATCCACATCCTCGCTAGTTATAAGTAGAGAGGGTTTAGGGTTTAGGGTTATTGGTTGTCTATATTAGGGGTCCTATTAAGGGCTATATATAACCCTATTAAAATTAATATCCAACTGTTACTGAGGGGGGGGAGTACCCAACATTGGACAAGACTATATTGGGGGGGTATCTTGGGACTATATTGGGATAATGGAAAATGAAATGGAAACTACTATTTAGGGTTTTGGTTTAGGGTTTAGGGAATCCGAATGGTAATGAGAACGGAAACTGCCACATTGTTGAGGGTCATACTGTTCATGAAGGACATCCTGCAGCACTTCGAGTCCCTTATCTGCTGGTTTAGGGCTTAAGAATGATGGGACTTGGGGACTCGGGATGGTACTAGATATCCTTTCATCAACATGTATATGGGTGGCTGTCAAAATTATGGTCCCTTTTTGGGTACCCTAGAAATTAGGTGCCGTACTATACTAGCGATCCAAAAAGTGACCGTAATTTTGACAACCACCCATATGGTGCTACCATAGGAATCTATTCCTCCATTCCCTACTAACAACCAGCAAGAATCCTGTGCGCCCTTTTCGATCATCTCCTTTGCCATGGGCTCCACTGCCACAAGGTCCTCACCACACGGTCAGGGCTAGGAATTCGGGACCTGAAACAAATCCTAGTTGCTGCTCTTGCAAAATATGAGCCACCATCATCGGGGTGAGTGGAGTGAGGTTGTTATACCCTAAACCCTAAACCCTAATCCCTAAACCCTCTTGCCCAAGAGAGGTCCTCGCCCTTGTCAATGATGCCAGCAGCCTTTTGGACCTCGCTGCCGGGTGCGGCGATACCAGTAGTGGCCTTGGAGGAGTTTCCACCCAAGTTGTGGCTCTTCTCCAGGATCGTCACAGAACCTACGGTTCAGGGTTTAGGGTTCAAGGTTAGCCTTTAGAGTTTAGGCTTTACTGTAGGGTTCCCCCGCCCAAAAAAAAATCTACAACAAGGCAATATCTATTCAAGTCTTTGTGTAGTTATCTTATAAGTAATGTCCAACAGTCCCTGGCAGGGTCAGGAGGACTGAGTAAGTAGGTTAATAACCCCGCGCAATAATCCAAATAGCAACCCTAGTTGTCCCCCTTATTTCCTACTTACCAGGTCCCCCCAAGTAGTGGGCAGGTGCAATCTCCAACTCGTAGCCCTCCGAAACAAAATGAAAGCAGCAATGTCGTGGTTAGGATGGACAACTAACACGAAATACTTACTTGGGTTAGTAGGGGAATAACTTACGTATAGGGATTACACACCGATTATTTTCCCTAAGCCCCAAACCCTAAGCCCCAAGCCCTAAAAACCTTAAACCCTAAACCCATTTATTCCCTACCAACCACCAGTACGAAAAGGGAATTCTGAGTCGGCCGCGGGAACATCCCCTCTCCAAAAGCTCACAAGCTGCTGATAGGCCCGCAAGGCCACCGCCCACGATCACCACTTTCGCCATGGCACTGGGAGTGGCGTGGTGCGAGAGGTGATCCCGAGAACTTACGTGGGAAATCTCAGAGCTTTAGCCACAATGGCTAGGAGCAGGGAGTACCGGAATGACCCCCCTGCTATTCTGATAGTTCGGGAGCCTTAACCTTATACAGGCCATACAAACACCTTATGCAACACCATGCGACCGCTATACTATAGAATTTATAAACATATAGGAAGAGCTACAAGACAGATTTTGAGAAGGGCCCCATGATGATGGCGATCATACAGCCACCGACTTCTTGCTGCTCCTCCTCCTGTTCTGCTGGTGTTTACCGTTCACTAAGCTTAAAGTTTGGCGTCTCAACCCTACCCCTAAACCCTAAACCCCCTGAAACCTATATAACCCATGTAACCTTCCTAAAGCCCCTAAACCCTCTAACTGCCCCCAGGTGTCATGAAGAGATCGAAGAGGCTCTCGGTATCCAGGCCCAGCTTCAACTCGCGTAACAGCTGGCAAAACTCCAGAAGATTCAGCCTCAGGTTTCAAGGGTTTAGGGTATAGATTAGGCACTGCCCCCCCCCCCTCAGTAACAGTCTTTATTAGGGGTCCCATTAAGCGCTGTATATATATATATAACCATATTATAATTATTATCCAACTGTTAGTGAGGGGGGGCAGTACCCAAGGTATAGGGTTTGGGATCTAGGGTTTAGGGTTTAGGTTTGGGGTGTAAGGTTCTGGGTGTAGGGTTTGGGGAGGGATGTAAGGCCTAGGGTTTAGGGTATGCGGCTTGAGCATTTGGGGCTTGAGGCCTTGGATTCAAGGATTGGAAGGGGAGAAGGAATAGTCATATGGAAACGAGGATACAAAGTGAAATGGAGAGTGGTATTATACGAGGATTTAGGTTGAGGGCTACAAAGGCACATTACCACGAAACTGTAGCGTTGTCTCCAATGGTTGTCGGCAGGGACTACAGGATATTATCACTAAACTTTAGACCCTAAGCCCTACACCCTTAACCCTAAGCCCTAATCTTTAGCCCGAAGCCCAAACGTTAAACCATATGCCCTGAACCCTTTTCCCTTGACCGTAAGCCCCAAAACCTTAAGCCGAAGCCCTGAATAAAACTTGTATTTTGCCTGCCTGGCTGAACATCTCTCAGCATTCTGAGGGTTCGGTTCATGCCGGAGATCAGTCTTTTGGTTTAGGGTTTAGGTTTGAAGGTGTCAGAATCGTCATGTTCTGGCATATTGAGGAAATTTTGAGACGCGACGTTAAGGATATGCCAACGTGATCCCGATCAATTTGTTGAAGGCTTTGGTTCCACTCTAGTAATCCATCACCCTCAACCCTACACCCTATTGAATCCCCTAGATCCCCAATCCCTAAACCCCAAACCCGAAATCCTAAACACTATTCCCTAAACCCTCTTCAGGGCTCGGGTCTGATCCTTTTGCTCTGCACACATCCACAAGGCCAGCCAGAGGTACTAGGTTACCTTTTTGGTGCTTAGTTGTTGTTTTGTCGCGCCTTTTAGCCACGGCATGAAGATTTCCCATTTGTCATGGCGCTTCCCTCAACCAGTGCTTCAACGTGGGGGATGAAAGCTTAGGGCTTAGGGTTCTAAACCCCAACAACCCAAACCTCTAGACCCAACAACCCAAACCTGAGACCAGACTCTACACCCAGCACAGCCCAGCTGCATGCCGTCGCCATCTGCGTCTGCAAACTCAAAGAGGGCCTGCGGCTGCATTACTGTCTATAGGGAAGGTACTCGAGGGTTCAGATTTAGGGTGTTTAGGGTCTAGGATTTTGAGTCCCCTTAAGTAGATAGAATATGGGGTATATGGGGATCTTATTATAAGATACCCAAAGCCATATTCTATCTACGTAAGGGGGATTATAGGGTGTAGGGTTTAAGGTCCAGGGCTTAGGGTTTACTAAACCCTACACCTCGGGGCTGAGGTTCAGGAATGAGGAGCCAAGGCCTTGGAGCCAAGCCAGAGGGGGATTTGGGACTATAGGTTAGGAGGACCCCAGACCCTGCAATAGTAGTATCATAGGAATATTATAGGACCCCAAACAGACAACCCCTACTAGTCCTTGTCACTATTACTGGGTGGGGGGGGGGTCTGCCCATACTATAAACGATAAATCCTGGATTCCTCCATTGGATCACCACAATTCCGGATTAGGGTTTAGGCTTTGGGGTGTTTAAAGGTTTGGGGCCTAAGGGTTCCAAAAGCTGACTTAACTTACCTGTGGTTAGTTGGGGATGAAGGAATGGATCCTTATAGTGGTCCCTACATAACCCAGTATAGTAGTTTCCATTTTCTTTGCCATTCCTTCATTCGCGCTCCTTCCCCTACAAGCCTAGAAGGACAGTTTCTGTAAGGGAGAACGACCCAACATGTGCTGTAGTCATCAACCTACATCCAAAGAACAAAAAAGGAGAGTGCCCTCAACTGTAGACCCTAAACCCTACCAACACCTGGATAAACAAGGCCTTCCTCCAACAGCAACGCACTGCGTAGACTACAGTCCTTCAGAACGGAAACTACGGGGCTTCCACGATGATAATGGGGGAGGGTAGACTTCAACGCGCACCCTGAACCCTTAACCCTAAACCCTTAAACTGCGGGGGCGAGCTACACTCTGAAGATCCTCTTACAATCTCTGCTTCAAAGGCTGTTCTCCTGAACTACCCCCCATACTATACCCCCCGTAGCTCTAAGTGTCCCTAATAACATTATAGCAAGAAAGCCTTGGTTGGGAGTGGGGACCCTAAACCCTAAAGAGCGTTTTGGGTGGTAGGGAAATTCCCGGATCATCCTTGCACAGTGCCAAAGGGGTTGATGTAAAAGTCATGGCCGCTCGCCCATCGAAACATCAGGGGCTGCATGATGAAGAGAACCCGGGTTTAGGGTTTAGGGTTTAGAAACAAATCTTTGACAGCCCTCATATAAGCCATTGTCTAAACTCCTAGAATTCCCCCTTGGTAACCTTTTAATAGTCACCTATATAGTCCCCTATATCACCCTTTTTAAGGAGTTTAGACTATAGCTCATATGGGCGCCCCGCTTTGGACTCCGATAATATCGATCGGGCGGTTTCGCTTGGTATACAGGGATCACACTACCAGAGAATTCCCTTGACATCAATCGAACACACTTCTAAAGGTTCCCAAGACAGGTGTCCTCTACAGCACCCCAAACCCTAAACCCTGAACCCTCCACAAATCTCACTGGAGTGCCTGCATATCTTCCCCGCCGTAACCTTGGTTCGGTGCTAGTGGAGCACAATTTCTTTGATATCCCTAGGCAAACCCTACACCACCCTAAACCCTAAACCCTAAACCGCGTGGGTTTAGGGTTACCGACTCTACTATTTTCCGGAGTAGTGACGGATCAAGGGCATTACCGCCTAGCTGAGAAATTAAATGCTTGGCCACCCAACCGCCAAAGAAACCTGTAACACGCAGGACCGTAGTGACGGTGCTAGCTTTCATTGTTGTTTGTGGGATGTGCTATGCATGGTTGCGGATGCAATTGCATTCGCAGTGTCCTTGATTTCACTCAGCCTATTAGCTGCGTGCTCAACGCTATGATGACCAGTACCTACAACAGTTGTTTTTGTGGGTATGATGCTTGTCGAATAGTACTACTCTTGCCCGGCAGGTGCTACCGCACAAAATTTGTGGGTGCATTGATTGCATCGAGACACATAAGAAACCTCATTCAATAGAAGTTGAAAAGGTTCAGAGAGGCGCAGTACATTCCCTAAAGGGGTCACAAAGCAACAAGGCCCTCATAACAGGACCCATACAGCGCAAGAACTCGAACTTAATAGCTTGGGTTCTGCCCCGGCCCAGCAA